ATTAAGACAAATATAACAGAACATTATAAAATGCAGTTTAGAAAAAGAAACATCAAATTAAAAACAATGACAGAAAAGTGAAAAAAGATATACAAGCCAAGAAAAAGCATTAAAGAGAACTAGCATACAGAATTTGAAGAAAAAATTAAAAAGAAAGAATAAAAAGAGATACTAAGAAAGTTAAAGACAAGAACAGCTTCAGGTATCTCAGATATAAGCTATATATTAATAAAAGAGCAAGAATGAAAATACAAGAAGTCTTCAAAAGTTTTGCAAACTTATGCTTAGAAATAAGAGAAATTCTAATAAAATAGAAGATAGCATAAGTTTACTTAATACCAAAAAATGTAGAATAAAGATATAGCTTAAACAACATTTACCTGATAGTATTAATTGAAACATTTAGAAAAGTTGTAACAAAGAAAGTAATGAAATGGCTTGCTAAAGTATTTATAAAAAGAGAAATACTTAGAAGACCAAATTTCACAGGCCTTCTGAAAAACTCAACAGAGCAACCAGTACAGATTTTAAACATAATAATAAAGAAGGCAAAAGAAAAAGACAAAGAAATATAGATCCTGCTACAAAATATAAAAAAGGCATTTGACTCAGTTCCTTTCAAAAGTCTTAAACTAGCATTGCAAAAAGTTAAAATACTTAGAAGAACAATTAAATATATATTGAATCTTTTTTTTTTTAATTATCTTTGATGTTTTTACAATAATTATGAGGCATATGTGGTACTCTTTTTTATTAAATGCTATTTATAGCAATATTAATTATATATTAAAATAATTCTAAACTAAATATTTATATATTTTTTTATAAATAGACTTTGTAAAGCATTTGTTATAAATTAGCCTAATCTCTTTAGAGATTCTATTTTTTGAAATTATAGAGAGTACTAAATTTGAATATTATATATCAACCTATTTGTAAGCTGTATAACAACACCAAATTTTATATATAGTGTGTGTGTGTAGCTATAAAATAGTTCTATATATCTTTGTTTTTTTGATAACTTTTTTAAGAAAATTTTTTCTATTATATTAGATATAGGTTCTGTTTAATTTGTTTTTAAGAATTTGTATGCTTTTGTCCAATTCTGTTAGACTCCATAGCCAGTTAGACTCTAATAGTATTTTCTTTTTATTTTTTTCAGACTAAAAGATAGGATTTCCATTCTGTAAACCAAGCTTTTGATCTAATAGGTTGTATAAAAAGTGCCTCTTGTACTAAAATATCTCTTTTTTGAATAAGTGAAAGAGAGATTTTATTTCTTTTTACTTTTGCCTATAGAAGATTACTTGAGATTAGTTTAGTCCAAACTGATAATAGTCTAGCTTCTAGTAAGTTGTTAACTATTAGAGCTTGTAGACCATCTTGTTCATAAGATTGTTAAAAAGTAGAGTATCTTGATAGTATTTTGAAGTTGCCTTTGATTCAGAATATAATAAGTCTGTTAATTTCTGCAACTTGTTTCTTATTTAATAGTATTAGAGAGATGAGGTTCCGTAGCCTAGTGGTCTAGGCACCCCTCCCTCCACAGACAAGGTCAATGGTTCAATTCCAGCTAGAGGCAAAAACTCTGTAATCTATGGAAGCATATGAATGTACACGAAGCCCTGTGGCTTAAGTCCATGTGAATAGAAGATCGGTATATAAAGAAGTTCCCGAAAAGAAGTTTTCCGATATGGAGAGTTGGCGCTCGATGCGAGAGAAGCAGTGAACATACCAGAAATGGAGAGAAGGTGCACTAGCGGGTGATACGGTAAACATAAAAGGAAACTATAAGAAAAAAATGAATTTACTGAAATTCGAACACTTCTGGCATTAAAACTGATTTAGTAGATACGAGTTACACTAAGTCAGATCTAAGTGGTAATCTTGGTACCAGCTTAGTAAGCTTGCATCGAGAGTAAATTTGAAGGAATATGAATACTTAGTAACATCTAATGAGGTGGTACTTTGATATAAATAGAAACTAAGATAGCCCTAATCCAAATGTCACTACAACAGTAATGTAAGTATTGCAGATATATACATAAATAGTATTGAAAATCAGAAAGTTTAAATAGGGGACTCACAGGTGGGTCTCAGGTATGGCATCTAGTGGGTAACCTGTGGGCAGAACCCTTAATTAGATAATGACTAAAGTTATACGTGTGACTAGTTATACTTTCGTTGATGTACTATGTATATTATATGTAATCATATATTACTTAATAAATAATATGCGAACAAGATTGCTGCTTTAAATAAAAAAAAATTTAATAGTATTAAATATGTGATGTATCATATCTTTAATAGAAGTAAAGAATTTGCGAGCATAATTCTTTCTTTGAGTAACAAGTTTTTATATGTAAGCCTTTCTAAGCTTAGTTTAAGTTTGTTTATAGCTTCTTGTTACAGGCTTTTTTTTAATGTACTATTGGCTATAATGTTATAGCCTAAAACTGTGATATCATCTTGTTTCTTAAGTTTTTTAAAGCAGGTTTCTTTTGGGAGTTCTATACTTCTAGCTGTATTTGTAAGAGGCATTAGGTTTGTTTTAAGTTTATTAATTTTTGCATTAGAAGCTTTTTCATATTTGCTGAACAAGTCTAAGATTGTTGTTTAGTTTAAGTATAAGCTAATTCTAATTGTAAGGTCATCTGCATATGCTGCATATTTGAAAGATTGATCACCAATTTTGATTTTTGTTAATTTGTTGTCTAACATGTTTAGCAAAAGTTTAAATACGAGTATATATAGTAGAAATAAGAAAAAGTTATATTGTTTGATCTCTCTTTCTACTCTAAAGGAGTTTAAGATGTATCCAGAGTTCAAAATATAGGCTTTTTGTCAATTGAATAGGTTTTTTATCAGGTTTTTAAATTTTTTGGTAAAGTTCATATTTTTAAAAACTATTTGTAAAAATTCATAACTTATTCTGTCAAATGCTTTTTGTTGATCAACAAAAAGCATCTAGTATTCTTTGGATTTATTATCTTAGTTTTCTCAAAATTGTAAGTATGTCCAAAGCTAAGTCTATAATTAGTTTGTTTGTGATAAATTTTTGCTGATATAAAGGTACTATTTTACTGCATATTAGGTTTAATCTGTTAGCAACAATTTTTATGAAAATTTTTGTATCACAGTTAACTAGTGATATGGGTCTCTAATTGTTTATATTGTAGAGTTCTTTGGATTTTTTTGATATTAGCATAATTAAGTTTTTACATCATGAAGATGGCAGTATTTTTGAGTCTAAAATCTAATTAAAAACTTGTTCTAAAACAGGTGTAATATGTTCTTCAGTCAGTTTATAGAACTTGTAAATAAGGCTATCTAATTTGAAGACTTGTTGTTGAGTAGTTTTTTGATTACTTCTAAGATTTTTTCTTAAAAGATATGTTTTACTAGTTTGTTGTTCATTTGATCAGAAGTCTGTAGAAGATTTTTGGTAATTTGTTTTGCTATTGTGTTGTTAATTTTTTCTTTATTATATATTTTTGTATATTGTTCTTTAATGTAGTTGAGTATTTTTTTATCATTATATTGTTCTTGAGTAGAAGGTATCTGTATTTCTGCCAAAGCTGCATATGACTTTTTAGCTTTAAAGCAAGCATAAAAGTATTTAGTAGATTTTTCTCCTAATTCTATTTAGTTTGCTTTTGAACATTGTTGACATCTATTTGCTAACTCTGTTAATTCAAACTGGATTTATGAGTCAAATATATTTAATATAGTAAAAAAATAAGTCTGGTTAGGGTTTTTGGCTATGGCTTCTTTTGTTTGACTAACTTTTTTATTTAGTCTTTTTATTTTATCTTCTAGTGTTTTAAACTTTTTAAAAGCTTTTATAATAGATTTATATAAACTTTATGCATATCTTAGTTTGCTACAGAGGTAGCTTCTTGAATTTCATTCAGAACCTCTTTTTTTAGAACATTGTTTTTAAAAGAGTTTACATCAAATCTTTAGAGAGCCGAGTGTCTAGGTTCTTGTTTTAAACTTAAAACACATTTAACTAATGATAATCTGAATTTTCAAATCTTGTTTTTGTTTCTGTATTTAAATGACTATAGTTCTTATCTATAAAAATATAGTCTAATCGAGTAGCTATCATTTGATTGTTATATGTTTTTTGATAAAATGTATAAAAGAGATTCTGAGATGTAAAAGATACAAAATCTATAAAATTCTTTATAATACCCTTAAGAAGTAGCCTTGAAAAATCATTTTAAGCATTTGCTTGGTTCATTCTATTAATTTCTGGATCTAGATTTGTGTTTAAATCACCTGCCAGAATGTTAATCATGATATCTTTTTTTTTGATTGCCTAGTTGTCAAAAAATGAGGTTTTATCCAAGATGTTTGATAGAGCATAAACATTAATTATATAGAAAGAAAACTTCTTGAAGGTAAAAATAATAAAGATTATACTGTTTTCTTGTGATCTCTTGGTTTTTTTGAATTTTATTTCTTTGTTTTCTACTAGAATTGCTGTTTTGCCTATTCAAATTGAATCAAAGCACTATTTATTTTTTAAAAATTGTCAAGTTGCATTGTTGAATGTATTTGTTTTTGTAAGAAAATAATATCTAGTTTATAAGATTTTAAAAGTATTAAAGTTCTAAGTCATTTGTTTATATTATTTAACTCTTTAATATTTAGGATAGCTATCTTAATTGATGTATTGTTCATGATAAAACTAGTAAGTTTTGGAACTATTTTGTGCTTTTTGTTCTAGTTTCTCTTGTTGGTTTTCTTTGTTAGAAATCTTATAGGGCTTTGATTCTTTGTATCTTTTTTTTTTATATATAACTAAGATGAAAGGCATGTTTTTTGTATTTTCTTGATATTTAGTTTAAAGATTTTGAGAGTTTGCAATTAATTCTTCTAGGATTATATTCTTTGTAAAGTTATCTATATTTCTTTCTTCCAAAGATAGAGTTTCTGTATTAATAACTATATTGTTTTTTTGCATTTTCTCTTTCAAGAAGAATTGTATGTTCTTAAGAGGATTCTGGTTCTATGTCAGTATTTTGTAATGTTTCTTGTACTGCAGAAGTTTCCTCATTGAAATTCTTAGTATGTTCAAATATGTTTTTACTAGGAAATTCCATTTGAGCTTTTCTGTTTTTATATACTTGATAGTGTTTTCTTAAATCTTTTGCTTCTTGAAACTGTACACAGTTTTTTTTAATATGGCCAGTTTGATCACAGAAGTAATATACTTTAGAAACTTCTTTCTATTTTGTAGTTACTCTGTTATCCTTCACATAGGTAAAGCAAGGAATTCTTTTTTCAAGTTCTAGATTATCTGTATTATTAAAGATAACTATCTATTGGTCTGTTAGATATAGTGTACCTTTAATAAGCAATAGTTTAATAGATGTGATCTTTCCAAAGTCTTAAAAAGCCTTTTTGACCTGATTAGAAATATGTTCTTTCACATCTAGAGGAACATTTCTAACCTTGACTAGCAAAAAGGATTTGTGTGCATCTGTAGGAATATATTTATAATATGTTCCTCTAAAAATTTTAACTTTATTAGTTATATAATGCATTAGATGATTCTGGTTTAAAAATATGATTTCAAAATAGGTTCTTAAGTCTTTTTTAAAATGTTGCTTGGCTGCAACTATGTTTTCTCTTATGTTTTTATATAAAGAAACTATAATTTTATTAAGAAAGTTGCAAAGCTTTGCAATTTTAACAATCTTTTTTTTTTTTTTTTTTTTTTTTTTTTTTTTTTTAATCTTTGGCAGCCTTGCCATAAACCTTTATTAAGATTCTTGTATCTATGTTACATACATTTTAACTTAAGTTACTGGTCTGACATCCTCTGGCTGCTTCTTTGAGTGCCCAGAGGCGGTCTGCCGCACTGGTTGGGGATATACCCGGATCCAGAGGCTGTACCAGACTAGCCAGTAAGGCCATATGTAAATGGCCTTAATTTACTATGAATAAAATTTGCGATTGAGCCAGACCATGCCTTGTGTATTTCTAT